CACATTGACATACATGAATCAAAAGATAAGGAAGCGTACAACTGTAGAAACCTTGCAGAAAGATGAAACAAGAAACATATGATAACATACATGATGGAACATATTGCAATTCATTGGAAATAGATTTTAATTTTGTCTTCTGCTAAATCAAGCTCAATATATTATCTGAATTCATATGAATACAAAGTCATCAAAGAGTCATGCAATTTTAGCTATGCATAATGATATTTTATTCCATTTTTTGTGTTCTCAAAAATCAAAACAAATCACCATCCCCATACATTTATTCAGCAAAATAAAAACACCTTTTGAATTCGCGAATATGATATAAATTTCTATTATTTCTAGGAAAAAATTAAAATAAGAAAAAAATATCCTATCTCAAAACTGAAAAACTGCCTCTCTTTAGACACAGCTAGTAAGAAAACATTTTCCGCAGAGCTCCAGATAAAGTGCGTATTTGCGTAAATACGCATTAAATTTTACATGATATGCATTGAAAATTAAAATAGAGCGTACAATTACGCATTAGCAATCATAGATATGCATCACATCACGAAAGTACTGCGTACAACAATTTGAAGAATACAGGTACGACTTACTTAACGATACGAATTGAGGTTAACTCCGTGTTTGATTTTTCTCAAAACGAAGTACAGATTTAAAAGCCTTTTAGTGACCAGGAATATTCTAGTAATGACGACGACGATCCATTTCGGGAGATTTAGATAAAAATCCATTTTTATGTAGAAAGACTATACACTTGGCATAATTTTTGTTTTATTCTTATGGGTTCATAGCCAATTTTTCATCCCTCTCAACTTGCCATATTAACGAAGATTCTTTTCTCTCAGTTTACTCTTGATACGATATCTTAAACAAAGGAAAAGTTCTCTGACTCTATGGTAGCTTGACCTACTGTACAATCTTCCTTGTCAAAAAAGAATCTTAGCAAAAAGTCTTGTTGGTATTTTCAAAATTTATTTAAATAAATACAGTAACCGAATTTTAACGTTTTTTTCTTTCTTCAAAACTTCGATTACAAGCTCAAAATCAAAATAAACGTCAAACATTTACAGTATATATAAACAAAATAATCTTTAATCATTTTAATGAAAACCAAAATCTGCATTGATTTGAAAATCAGGGAGTAAATACACTTTAAGGTAAAAAATTATCTGGAGCTCTGTTTTCCTCATCAAAAACTGCATGTAGAATGTACAGCAATTATACAAATGCTTCACCAACTCAGGAAATGTGTGTCAATTACTACTCAGTGTTCTCAGTGTATTAAAAATGAAAAAAAATGCATCACTTTTCCGGGTCTTGTTTATCATGTTTATGATGCAGCGCTATACGTACTATAATTATAACCCCCGCTTGAGACATGTGAGAAGCGGCAAGGTATATAGTAATCGGTATGTCCGCCCGTGTGTACGTTCGTCTGCTACGCTTGTGGGAACTCACCTGTTATCCACAACTCCGCTCACACCACTTAATGAAGTTTGATGAAACTTTCACAGAATCTTTATTACATCTTGCCTATTTAACTTTCTGATCCGATATAAATTTTGGGTTTCTCACTGTAAAAGTATGTAAACTGCCATTATATTCATATGGGAGGCAGGGGTTACCATTTAGTGAGCTCATTGCTCACAGTACCTGTAGTTACATTAGTATTGCTTTAGTGCCATCCGCCCCCTCCTTCCTTTCTTATACACTGTAAGTTTAAAAATGTGCTGGTAATTTTTTCATGCTTCACATAAACTGACTCATGGATGTGGCTGACGGGGAAATCATATATTTTGGAGAATTTTTTTCATTTAAAACAGAAACGAAATCCACATGCTGGATGCCCGGGAGTATGCGTGCAAGTTAGACATTTGATTAATTTTTGTTTAAATAAACGTAAAATTGTCCCGAATATTTGACGATCATTCCTGTAATGATTTCAAATAATGTACTACGGTAAATAGATATTATGGCATTCCTTCTTAAAATAAACATATATCTCCATCAGTGCTTTACTTGGAGAGGAGGGGAGGCACAAATTGTTCATCACAGAATATCATCCTTTACTCAACACAATGTTTATCGAAAGATACCGGGGAGTATTTGATGCATTCAAAGTTTGCGCAACAAGATATACTAACTACATTAAAAGGCACTGTTCTTGAGTCAGCTTAACTCCATATCAATGTTATATATATAAGTGTGACTCAAAAAAATACAAAAACAGAAACACAACTTCCTGTGCAAATCTTAAAATACATTCAAACTAATTATCTCGTCGGTGCAGTTCACTGATGGAATGTTTTGGATATCATTCGGAGAATTCTATGAGAACGAGGAAAAAACTGGATACATGGATCAAAGGATAATACCTTTTTCATGGATATTATATATATTTCAGATATATTACATTTTTACAACAAAAAATGTAAAAAAAATATATATATATATATATATATAAAAGAAAAGATTTTTGTTTATACAAAGGTTAAATTATGCCTTGTTTGAATTGTTTCATGTAAGGTAAAACATTTTAAAAATACTACAAATAGGTTTTGCCACATGGTCATCAAAAACACAATTTTACGGATTATTAGAAGGTCACCTTCGCTAGCCAAGGGTTTTCAGTCCACTCTACTCTCCATAAACATTTTTAGGTAGCAGAGCGGGCCGAAAACCTTTGGCTAGCAAAGAAGCGAACGCTATTAGTTATCCAGGTTCAATGAATGGTGTACGGGAATTTACCCCGGGTTTTATTCCATACAACTTGAGGCCAAAGGGTTATGGAATACAATCTGGGGGTAATTCCCGTACTCCTTTGATGGGACCTGGATAACGAATTTATTTCCTAAGTTCCCAAATAAATTCTTTGTAAACATGGCCAAACAACTTTATCCTGCCTCTGATAAAAATCTAGCAATACTGTATAAATCTTGTTATGCTGTCTACCCACCTTATATTGCTAAAAACCCCCTCCACTTGCCCTACCTACCATTTACCAAACATACATCATCAATATACTACTCAAGTCGGACGCACGGAAATATACACCTGACCTTGTAATAAATGAAAGCTCGTATTACAAGCTTCGTGTACATAATTAGGAAAGACTATAGTTTGCAATTAAGACTGTTTATCTAATACAACCAAAAATGTCCTGTCAAGTCCATGTGCGTTCAACATTAATCCAAAAGCAGAGTTTATTACACGGAAATGTTATAATACTATCCATAACAAAATTATGACCATATTTTTTAACGTTTGCTAGCTTATACGAGGGTTGTTCAAAAAGTCTGTGGACGATGTCATTCTTCGTTACATTGCTCAGTAGAAATTTAAAATAAGCTCAATATAATATGTAAAAAAAAGTTTTGTTGATGTGTGAAGTTTCATTACATTGGATTTTCCAGAAATCAATTTACTTCATTTTAAAATTAACATGTTGTGTAACCGCAGAGCACACTTAACGACAATGTAACGTAAAAGACAGCGTCAAAAATTTCTAAAAATTGCCATTAATCCCTATATATTTCAATGAGTATAATCCAAAGCCCACTCTTCAAATCCTTTTTCCTTATACTTGACATTCATTTTTAAGCTGCAAATCATTTACCAGAGACAAAACGACAGGTCCCATTTTTTAGGGTATAAAAGCATATACGTTACACTATATGTGCTTTGTTTTCATGAAGTCAAATCTATATTTGATGATAGGCAAAGCATGTGCCTCAGTCGCATCATCTCGGGTCTTCCCGTCAGAGATCGGAAAAACTAACTCGAATCTACATGTATTAACCTCGCCGATTGTTAACAATTTATACTTCTGATTTGTTTAATTATAGGATATAGACGGAGTTAAAAACCCCTTCTATAGTATATTTTAGGTTATACATAATTATGTTTCTTTACAATAAATAATAGCAGGCAGCAATGTAGCACATTTATTTTCATGTATATTTAGAATCTTTATGTTTAGTAGGGGGTCAACTGAAGACACATGTATACTATAAATGCCAATGTTTTTTCCCATGTTCTGTTTTCTTAATTAATCCCCCTTTTTTCTATGTATAAAATTTACAATGACATTATAGTGCTGGGGAGATAATTGAAAGTTTTGCCTATTTATACTGCCATTTTAGTTTGTAAGAAAATTCAGTCCAACGCGCACATACAGATGAAAACTGCGAGAGTACTTGATAGAGAAGTAAAAAAAATTGAAACATAGCTTTTTCTGCAATTAAAGTAAAACTTTTGGAAGAATTAATCCAGAACCGTGCGAACTATTTTGTGCGCAAAAAATATACAGTTTTGTCAATGGGTGTAATTGTAGCTCTTCTGTAAATCAATATCTTTTTTTCCGGAGAGCTACTGTTCTGCAGCTAACTCTCGGCAGCCTACATAAATATTTCCTTGTGCTTCTTGCGTTAAGTTATTAGCCAGAATTAAATTCAACACTCGTTAGATCGTTATAAATAGCCCACTGATTTTCCTTACCATGCAGTGACCATGTGGAAAAGATTACATCATGCAGATGTTCTGCTTTCCAAGGAGAATAATCTGAAACTGATCTAGATAAAAAAAGACGAATCTATAAATTAATGAAATAATTTCTTTTGAATTCTTGCGCCTTTTTTTCGTTTCTTTTAATTTTAGAATGAATTCACAGAATGATTTTATTATTATTATTATTATTATTATTATTATTATTATTATTATTTTGCTAAAAGCAAAACGGATATAAAAAGAGAATAAAATAAATTATAGCACAAAAAATGTAGTTCTGTAGTTTTGCATGAAGAAAGACGTAAAATACTTGTATTGTAGTAATGAAAATGTGCCATGGGCCCTATGAAAATAATATCCTAGAAACAAAAATCACAAATGATGCCATATGAAAATCAATATATGAATTACATGTTGAAATCTCTATCGATTAGGTATTATTTAAATTGTCCTACACTAACAAAGAGTAACTACATTATACTCACACATGGGGATATGACTACAGTCCCTCATGATTGCCCCACACTGTATATTTGATAATATTTCGAAACACTCACCTTGTACTTGAGGAATAGTGGGAAAACGGGTGTTGCTCGTAGAATCTGGGGTTTGCAGACGTATTTTTAATGCAGATGATAAACAACAACTCTTGTTTTGAATAGGAAGTTATTTTTGTCGTCTCAAGTGTTGAGCCTAACAATTACTCTTTATGTGCCTTACTTCTTTGTATATCTATATATTTGTGGTGATCACACGGATTTTGTAGCCCTAGTCTTAATAGTTAAGTTGCTAGACTCGATGCTTTTTTTTAAAAACAACAATTGGGCTTAGTTTCTAATACTAGTCTGATACAGTAAAATCTTTCCTTCCTTTCTAATATCATAATGTAACTAAAATAAGCTTCATTTATTGCACTATAGAAATTGGAGTATCAAATCGGGTTTGATTAGACCCAACTTGAAAAAAAAATGTCCGTTACGTTTTGGGTCATCTCCGAGCGCATATCCTCATATACCAATGAATGAAATTTAATCAGAGACTTTCACGGAATCTTAAATTTGTTTAATATTGCAATTGTAACCTCCTATCGTACATTTTTATCTGAAACGTATTTCAACTTTTCCCGTAGCAAAACAAAGGCACAACCATTTATATTGAAGGTTATCCATCTCTTATTAGCAACTCCTCCTATACCTAAGAAAAAAAACTTAATGATAGTTTCACAAGTTTTTACTTACAAAATGTCATTATGAGCAACCTATTCTACTTTTTGATCTGACACTTATTTTGTGTCGCTCAGAGCAAAAATGTGGACTTTGCCATTATCATCAAATAGGAAGCGAGGTTTTTTTTAATGAGCGCAGTGTTCAGTGCTCCCTGTATCTCTACTTTAAGTTACACAATCATGCAGAAATTGAGAAAAAATATCAATGTTTTATTAAGAGACTTACTTTTACAATCGACGACTGACTTTTACAATTTTAACAGAGACAAACTCCAATCACTAAAATGTAAAAGTCAGCTGTCAAATGTAAAAGTAAGTCTCTTCATAAAACTCCATTATGAAACACATTTTCAAGTATTTCTTTTTTGTCGTGGATAATAAATATTTCGCAGTCTTAAGGGGGGTGTACAAGCCATATTGGATCTAGTCTTGTGTAAAATAAGAAATACCAAGAATGCGCTTAATACTCTACTGAACTAGCCCAAAGTTACTCAAAGTGCTAATGCACTCATTACCTACTGTTAGAGACCAAAATAAGGAAATAATCAAGTTTAGTTTGTTTTAATTAGGAGGAAATGAATCATGTTAGAACTGCGCAGCTACAGCATTCACGAGATGAAAATTGCATTGAAAATGGTATTAGTTCGATTCATTGATAATATGGCTACAACCATTTCTTTCGCTTTTTTCCTGTCATTATCCATAATTCTTGAAAATTTAATTTTTCATATGGGGGTCTTCCTGAGGCCATGTGTTTATTTCGTCCGCCATTCCTCTGTCACACAGAGTTCGAATAATATTGATTTTAGAATAAATGCGACTATAATAACATCAAGACAAGAAATTACTAAGTAATAATCATTAGGTTATATTACTTACTACTTTTATTTGTTGCATCGCATCGTCTGATTAATGAAAAAAACGCGATTGTAACCCCACTCCAGCAAATCGGAAGAAACTGTTCTGTTTACAGCTCGAGTTTCTTCGATTATATCATTCCACTGAGCACGTGGTTGGCATGTGCATATATCTGCTGTGGATAGATGTGTTTATTACCATGATTACTGTACAGGGGATTAATTTCACGGGTTGTAATTTTCACGTTTTTCTCTTCTCTGACACAGTCGCGGTTTCTAAAATTCGCGAAATTGGTATATAATAAAAGTTTCCTCCCTTATCGATAACTATTGAAAACTTATTCACTGCTTCTTGAATTCACGGATTCATTAACACCGTGAATATAGCGAATATTAACACCGCGAGCTATTTTCCACCTATACAGTATATATAATTTTTCATGGAACAAGTCTTGATAATTTGTTGGTTTCTTTAAAACTCAATTAGAAAAAAGATAAAAAATGTCCTAAACATATGTGTTTACGGTTGGTCTCTTTTCTGTGGCAATGGAAGTTATTTTCAAATGGGGCACTGCAAGGAGGATGCTTAGCATTTAATTAATAAAATGTTAAACAATACTGTAAACCAATTATTATACGCGTCATTTTTTATTCGCGAGTGACCGCTAGAGAACTAATCCGCGACGATTTATTTCCGCGAACGAGTGGTCACATTTTTTTATTACCACGAGTATTTTTGAATCAAATTAATATTTCATATCCGTCCATAAACTAGGTAAAATGGTAGCGTGAGGTCTGCTTATGCATTATTCAAGACATTCTGTGCATTGTGTCCATTTAAAATCTTATATCCACCCCTAAAGTGCATGGGTAAAATGACTTCACACGCATTTTCACAACCCTAAAACGAAAATCGGAAAAAAAAATCAAGGAGATTAAAAAAAATATTGATTTAAAACTCTCAATTGTAAAAGTGCCTCATACTAATTGGATAATCGACGCTTTCTAAGATCTACATAGCCAAGGGGCAATTATTATAAATGGTTTGGACAGAGCAGGACTGGGCCATAATTAGCCGTAATTAACCAGGCTATATCTGACTCGTCTGGAACAATAAATGAACAATACTTACACAAGCTGAAATTATTATTGACATCTTATTCATTTTTAGACAAATAGTTTTAGATTTGCCATTCGTTTTTATTTTTTCTGGATGTTTGTAATTAAATTTCAACTGCTTCTTGTACACTAACAGTAAAGTTCTTCCGTGATTACTTGTTGAACCGTCGGGATCGGTATTGAAAAAAGGGCAAAAAACTCTAAATAAATCATGATATGGGAATATAATGAACAACTGGTTTGCGACGATAAATATCCGCGAGCAAAGGGTACTCGCGGAACTCGCGGATATTTATCGCACGCGTATAATACTTGGTTTACAGTATGCGGTGCATGAAAAACAAATTGTAATTACATGTCTTACATTCGAAAGTTGGTACACATGTCTATTTTGTTTAGCAGTTAGATAGAAAAAAATAGGCAGTTATAGGATTCCTTTAGGCACCTCACATGAATAGATAAATTGTTTGCAATGACCCACACATTGTATGAAGTAATGTTTGGACATAAAAACACATTATGTCTCATTATGTTGACAACATTATGTCGACAACATTGTAAGCTCTCCCTCAATGAACATATGAAGCTTGATAAAATATTTGAAATTTAGAAATGAGCACAATGTTTGCAAAGAAAGGTCCATTGCATATGCTATAAATGTCTATCTTCGCAAAAAAAAAAAAAAAAAAAACAGTGAGAGAACCCCCCCCCCCCCCCCGAGAAAACTATGTTTGTTTTTCAAAAAAGTGCTAAAGCTAAAAAAAAAAAGTATTACTAAGTAAGTATGTGATGGAACATGTACTAGCCTTATCAGACCACTTGTTATAGAAATATTTGGTTGCCCTCTCTCCCGATCTACTGCCTAGAAATGGCCTGACTCATTTTTTTTCATACCATTACACGATATTTTATTCTTTTTCTTCCGTCAACAAATACGTTTAAATTTTAAGAAATTTTTTTCTCCCCAATAAATACAGGCCCCTCACTTTTTTTAATTGAATTACTTGGACCTTTTTTGTCGCCAGATTACAGATTTTTGTGCTACATGTATTTTCGTTATAACATTTGATTAACAAACACGCAGTATATTTAAATTGTCGAATTATTAAAACATTGATTTTAAGAGAAAGAATTTGAGAGGACCCTGTCCTCAACAAAACATGCTTCATTTCATGTATTTAAATTGAGCTACACGTGGGAAAAAACTGTTTCGTTTTAGGAAAACGCAAACAGGAAATAAACTCAGGTAACATCCTGTGTATATATGAAAGAGCCAGCGTCTTTCCCTCGGGGCTTCTCAGCCGCTTCGATTAAGCTCGATTTGAAACCCACAAATTGTTCATCAACACCTTTTCTTGTCATAAGAAGTAAGGAAACAATACATTTCCCATAAAGAAAAGCTTTTATAGTTGATTCAATATTAGAATATGTTTTTGAACTTTAGCTAAAATGATGAAGGATATACACTAGAAACTAATTTTGAGACAGTATATTTTGTACATTTGATCTGATAACCATTAAGGATCAATTTCTTCCCTGTGAAGGCTAACCTGAGGGGATAGGCATTACCTTTACTATTGAAAATGTCCACTGAAAGGTTGTTTGCCCCCCCCCCCCCCAACTTTTTACGACCGTATAGTGATATGAAGGAAATGTAGTATTGTATGCCAAAAAATAGGAAGTAAAAGGAATTTGGCCTCTGGTTGGCCCCCCACTTTCAAAACCGATGAGCGACACTACGTGCCTGCATGTATTAATAACTTTTTGTCGCATAAATAAACTCATGGGACCCTTGTGAACCCAAAACGTGCTTGGGAAAAGTTATACTATTTCTCTGGTATAATTTATTTCAACTTACCGACAAATCTGAGGGTATTTTCTGCTGAATATCATCTGTTTGAAAGCAAAGTCATCATATATTTTTCCACAGCAGGATTCAGTTAGAGGGGAAACTCTTCTTACATATTTCCATAAAAGATATTTTAAAAATAAATCCTCATTAATCACCTGCGCCAGGCTCTTTTATACACATATTATAAATTCTGTCTCTATCCTCGGGTTTAAAAAAAGGGTAAATGTCACACGTACATTTTCGTACTTAGTTTGAACATGTTGACTCTGAAACAAAAGTAATGAATCAAATTTATCTAAATTATTCGGTTATATTAAATTAAAAAAAAAAATGATGAAAACACGTTAATCTCAAACTACAGTAAAACTCGGTTATAGCGAAGCCCTTAGGACTTTTGAATTTAATTCGCTATATCCATAATTCGTTATATCCGTAAAACGAATTTGTATAACCATAATAGCGAATTCGCAATATGCATGTTTTCATTCATGTATTACTACCAATTATATTAGGAAAGCAAATATCAAAA